TACAGTTTTTGTGTTTATATGTACATGTATATTTTGAAATAATGAGACTGCTCATATTCATAGCTTTTATCAAATTAGAGAGTTCATGATACTTTTCTTTAAGAAATATGAAAGGACTGCCACTGGGGAGGGAGCAGGCACAGTCTCAGGGCAAAAGGCCAGAAGTATAACATAAAAGATAACTGATATCTCATTCTACTGCATGGGCTTAATAGGTTAGCCCAAAATCATTTATTTTGGCAAAGATGCCAGTGTATTCATTCATCACCTTCCTTTCCTTTTTCTTTTGTCCCTAAATTCCCCTCCTGATGGTGATATTTGAAAATATGTGTTGTGATTTTTAAAAAATAACCCATGATTATGCTAAATAAAGTGGTAGACAGGGCCACTGACATTTTCAAGAACGATAGAAAGATGGGGAAAATCAGAGTCACACTTCCAAATAAATCAAGTTTACAAGTTTGAGAGAGGCATCGTGATAGACCCTGAAACAAAGGAAAGTACAATAAATAGTAGTGGGGAGAGGTTCAGGGTTAGCAAGATGATTAAATGTCAACTGTCAAGGAACATGTAAAGGCAATTCCAATTATTGCTCTTCTGATGAAAGAATAAATATATCATACTTTCCACAGAATCTTTCATTCAATGCATCACATCCTAGGCATCAAGTTATATTAACTGAATAAACATTTAAATTATGGAGGGTGAAGAGCTGCAAAAGGGAGGAACTGAGAACCACAACAAATCTGTCATTGCTTTGTTAAGTTTGTTTGAACCACCTACTCAAGTGTTTTATTCAAACCCAAAATGAGAGGCACAGAAGCAACTCCTAAGTCTGTCAAACACGCCTTCTTTCTTCATCTCTCTCTCCTTCTTTAAGAGGAGCACTCACAAGCATGCATGATTAACTTTCCTTTTTTTTAAAGATTTATTTATTTATGCATATAAAAGCCGGGGTGCCGGCCAGAGGTGCAGGGAGTGAGAGGATTCACCAGAGAGAGTAGGGAGCAGAACAGGCAGATTGACTGTAATACACTGATGAGGGGAGCAGCAGGGGAGACAGGAGAGGTCTGCTGCGCTATGTGGGTCACCTCCCTGGCCGGGGATTGAACTCATGCTTCAGTGGCTGCAGATAGCTTCATAGTGCTGTGTCTTAACCCGTTGAGCTACCAGGGAGGCCCACCATTATCTTTCTCAAGAAAAAAATTCATTCCTAGTTTATTAGGAGAAGGTCTTCAGCAAGTATTAGTCTTCAGGGTTCCATGAGCCGAGTCCTAGGTATGTCTTAGGCAACTGTTGAATGCTTATCAAATAAATCAATAATGAAAAGAATAAATGGGCAAACATCTCTCACCCTCTTCTGCTATTGTGGATATATGAATTAGAGACTGCACTGGACAAGGCAGAGCAACATCAGGAAAACAAGAAACTATCCCCATGCAAATTACTCCCAGCTTTTCCCAGACAGTGTCACTTCCTTCAAGTGGCTTGAGCCTTAAAGGGTGATGTTCTTCTCAGAGGCGTTATGGGGGGACTGGGAGATAATGTCTCATAAAGGAATCTACCAAGGAATTCCGGGGGAAAGAAGGGTTTGGTAGGCAGAAAAGATAGTCACATCTTAATCCCCAGAACCTGTAAATGCTAAATTAGACACATCAAGGGAAAATTAAAGCTGCAAATAGAATTACTATTGCTCATAAGTTGTGTCTGAGATGGGAAGATAATGTTGGATTATCCAAGTGGGCCCTTTAAATCACAAGAATCCTTACGGTGAGGCAAGAGAAAAGTTCAAAGCCAGATATGAGAAGGACTTCACCATCGTTGCTGATATTGAACATGGAAAATGGGGTGTCAAGTCAAGGAATGTGGACAGCTTCTGGATGCATTAAGGAAGAAAATGGATTTTCCTCCAACAGTTTGATTTTAGCCCAGTGAGACCCATATTGAACATGTGGCCTCTGGAACTGTAAGATAATCAATTTGTGCTGTGTTGAGCTACCAAACATGTGGTGATTTGTTTCAGTTGCCATAGGAAACAGAAGGTGAGTGAAAAAAGGAAAGGACTTGAGAAGCAGGTTGAGTGGTTTTGTCATTTCCAGCCATGGGACCTTAGGAACTTCATTTCGGGTCTTTGAGTCTTCATAGTCCTCATTACTATAGTGGGTTAAAACTAGCAACCCCCAAAGGCTGCTTTTGATAGTGCTTATCATTGCTGTCTTCCTTCCTTTTTTTCCTTCTTCCTACCTTTTAGGGTCATTGGGTGCCAGCATGCCATGTAAGAGAAATAAAATGAATGATAATGAAGAGTCAAGTCTGAGGGATCTATGATGGGGAACACCAGTTCTGTGGCCTGTCAAGGATTTTATGAAATAAGGATGTAGGGTTTTATTAGTTGTTTGCCAGAGAAAGAAAGAAGGGAAAAAAGGGGGAAGAGTGAGAAAAATAGGAGAAATTTGAGTGAAGGATGAAAAAAAAAAAAAAAGGAAACAGACTGTGGGAACCAGACTAGAAGCAAATACAGGTGGGATTTGCCCTGCAAGGAGACTGTATCTCTATTCAAATGAGGGAAATTTCAAAATTGGTTGGTTGCAAAGGTTAAGGTGGATCTTTTAAGAGCACTGGAGATAGGAATCTACCCAAAGGACACACCACAGCACTATTTACAATAGCTAAGGTGTGAAAATACCACCTAAATGTCCAAAAATGGATGAGTGTATCAAGAAGATGTGGTATATATACACAATGGGATACTACTCAACAATCAAAAAAGATGAACTCATGCTATTTGCAGCAACATGGAGAGAGCTGGAAGGGATTATGGTCAGTGAAATAAGTCAGAAGGAAAAAGAAAAATATCAGATGATTTCACTTATAGGAGGTATTTAGGGAGACCAAACAAGGGGTAGAGAAAGGAAAAAAAAACAGAGAGAGACAAAACTAGCAGGCAAACTATAAATTGGAGACATACAGCAGGGGAGAGATCAAAACAAGGAGGGAAAAGCACAAGAGTCTATGGTGGCAGTTCATGGGTGACTTGGTGGTGGGAATTTTATAGGGATTAATACCTGTGAGAAAAAATCAAATATTATACAAAAATGAACAATGATGCAAAATATATATATTTCAATAAATATATATTTTAATTAAAAATAATTAAAAGCACTGGAGAAATGTTCTTTTAGGAATAATAACTGAAAACTAACTATTACAGTTAATCCTACTGAATTTCTGGACCTGTGATTAACTATTTCTTTCTCTAAAGCGATGTGAGAGGTTATCTGTCTGTCTATAGATCTATCTATTTATCTATCTATCTATCTGTCTATCTATCCCATCCATCCAGCTATCTAGCTATCTAATCTATCTGTCTCACAATGTAAGAAAGATTTCTGCCATAAATGACAATGTTATGTTAATGTAGAAGGATACTAAAGGAACTTTGGAGAATGCAAACTTCTAAGTTTGCATGACAACTTATTCCCTTTCAGACTTTGCAGTTAATGTAGATTTCAGGAGTATAGAACTATAAATGTAATGAGAAAATTTCAAGGAAGAACATTTAAATTGTAACAAAAAATCAACACAGGGCTTTGGATGTACTTTGTGTTCAATGATTTTTTTTATTAAATTTTTGTGCTATTGCACAACTTTGAAGAGACCATTTTGTGGTTAGGTCAAATCAATTTTTATCAACACATTAAATTTTTAAAAACAACTAGATTTTAATCCATCTTTTCAGTTTATTAATGGGTTATTTTGAGTTTATAAGTTTCCTTGCAAGAGAAAACTCAACTATTGTTTACTTTAAAGGAATATTTATAAATTGCAAATGACTTGCTGTGTAATAGACCTAGCTTCAAGTTATATCAACAAGATTATTTCCCAGTCCTCTTTTTCAAGCCAACCTAAAATTGAGTTAAATATTATTTAAAAACATTTGCTATTGAGATTTTTCAATGCTTTTAAAAGGAAAAACTAAAGTGTTCTAAGTGACCATGACGTGTTTAAGTAAATATTTTCCCCAAAGGTTCAATGTATAATTTAACTTGAGAAGATATGGGGTAAACACAGAGACCTGCTGCAATGTTTCAGGAAGTAAATTTACCATTTCCTCTGATTTTGGAAAGCCCTTTAAAACATACAAAACTGCAGTGAGTTCTCACAGCATCACTTTTCCTAAAGACATAACAGCTTGGATAACCAATAGTGCCGATCAATCAGTTAATCAATGTGCTAGGAAATCTTTGGGGAAAATGCCATAAAAATGGTCACTGTTTCTTTCTCCTATCCTTTGCTTCATTGTCCCTGAATGACTTCACAACTGAGTTTATAGATCAAAGGACTTCTATGATGACTCACAAATTTCTGTTGGAATATGGAGAGATTTCCAGAAAAGTCAACATTTACTTCATGTAGAGAGCTTTCAGTTTGAATGAGTAGAGTGATCTAACCCTGAAAAATAGTTGATCTAACCCTGAAAAACAGCTCAACTAGCTGACCTGTGCAGGTATTCATCTTTCATGCCCAAAGACCTCTGCTGGCAGCAGTGAAAACCCAAGTGGGAACTTAATAAAAATGAAAATTGTGGTAGCAAAATACACTTACAAGGTTAATGTGACATATTGCAAAATTTGGGGAGGTTATAATGGTTTCTATATAACCACAGTACTGATTTTGAAAACCCTAGAGAAACAGCTGCATTTTGAAATATAAGCTGTCTTGCCAGCATAGGAAAGCCTAGATAGTCAGGGTGTGTAAGTCTTGAGATGCTAGGATGTTGGGAAAACCTGCAAGCATCTCTTAGTGAGGAATAACAGGATAATACAAAACCTGCAGAATTTTACACTTACAGATATCTGCAGACACATATCTGCTCCAAAGGTCGCATTGTTAATTTCTTTACTACAGAGTGGTAAAGAATGAGAAAAACTGTTGATAAAATCAGTTCTGATGACGTATTAGGAAAATTATTGTGCTCTTACCATGTGGTTTCTGATTACCTGTGAATATCTCCATTTCTGGCATTTGGTAGCAACTGGTTGAGGCAAACCTGGCAAAATCACTTCCAGCTGCTGGAAGATTAACTTCTGCACATCCTCAATGCTGTGTTCCAAGTGTGCAACTCCAAATGGGACAGACGTGTGAACGGCAAGGGAAGGTCCGATTTCTGATGACTCTGGTGTGGGAGGAACAAAAAGATATATCTTACAGTGGGAAACATGGAGGTGTGTCTGCATTTCAATCCAGAGTTGAGATTTGATCACAATAAACAGACACAAGTGGAAAGAAAGGACATTCTAATATCAAGGCATACAATTAGGCTATTTCTGGATTTCAAACTTAAGCTTCTCTGAAGAGGAGGACAGATTCATTTTTGGAAACTAAATTTCAGGTCTTGCTATAGAACTGGAAGGAAAGCTATAAAAACACCTACATATACTGGTATAATTAAATTTATTGATATGTTCATCTTCCCTCATTTTTTATACACAAACCTATAATCTCCTTAAATTGTGAATGCAAAGTAGATTTCAATAAATGTATCTTATTAATATTATGTTAATGGATAACAAGTTATTCATTTTACCTTTAATTTTGCAAAATATTGTGTTGAAATTATATAAATGCCAGAATAAAACAGCCTTAACACTTAAAAAAATCAGGCTTCTTTCTAGAAACAGGCATGACATCATGATATTCTTCATATTTTAAGCAGTATTAAAAATAAAAGTCTGCCTGATTCATTATATGGAATTATATTTACTTTTGTTTGCCATTAAATTTATTTTTTGCTGTATTTTCACAATTATAAATAATGATTGACTGCTGCATATCTTTCACCCTTTAATAGAAAATAGGAAAATTGAGTAAAGCTTGAAGTTGAAAGTAAAATGACTGAGGCATTAGAAAATACATTCTTGGCTAGGATGTTAACAAGAGTTTGCTGATTATTAATATTTGTTTAAAACCTACAGATGAGATAAATTTGAAGGGAAATAATAATGGATCAGAAAGGCATGAAAAAAGAAAGTTGGTGCTCACCACTGCTGAAAGAAGAGAATAATCAAGTATGAGAGGCACTGTCAGGTGCTGGAAAGCCTGATTCTGAAAATTCCTTAATTTAGAATTGTAAAGAGTAAAACGACAATTTCTTTGAGATAGGTTTGTACAATTCTACTCCGGGAGAAGAAAGGATTGAACAACATAAGCCACTTACTAGCTAGATGGCCACTTACCCTCTTTACATCTCAGGTTTCTATTTTTGGTAAAATGAACATGTTGATACCTATCACATAGGTTTGTTGTGTAGATAAAATAACAGTGCACAGGAAGTGCTCAGCATAGTTTCTGGCACATCAAGGTAAACTATGGGAATAGGAGAAATAAACCTGACAGGTACAAAAAAAAATCACCCAAATTATAACTTTATTTTTGTAAAAGTACTTTATTTTTCCACTGTGCACTACTCAGAGAATCGTGGATGGTGAACTTTTCAGCCAAACTCCAGGGACAGAGTCCCATGATGTTATAAGCATTTTTTAAAATCTTTGTTTTTAAAGGTTTATTTATTTATACAAGAACTGGGGTACAGGCCAGAGGCGCAGGAGGGTGAGAGAATTCACCAGAGACAGAGCGGGGAGCAGAACAGGCAGACAACTGAAAACACTGCTGAGGGAGCAGCAGGCGAGCCAGGAGAGGTCTGCCACACCATATGGGTATCTCCCTGGTTGGCTGGGAATTGAATCCACACTGCAGAGGCTGTGGACAGTTTCACAGCACTGTGCTCAACCCGCTGCGCCACCGGGGAGGCCGGATGCTATAAGCCTTAAAGTGGGGTGCTTCCGAACATTTTCCAATGTGTTAGGTGGGAGACTGGACTTCAGTATCTGTGCAGTAAATGCAATGGTAACAGATTGTCCATTGTTTTCATCTTATAGCAGCTGGAACAAAGGGAAAGAGGAAAGAGAAAGGCCATCTCTTTGAATATTCAATGTTTAAATTGTCAGTACAGATTTTCCAGCCACCACACAGAGGGAAGGACCAAGGAAAGCAAAATATCAAGTACTTTCACCCAAAAGACCATGCTGAGAAATCTACCATATATGGCCTCAAGAAGAGCTATATATGTTGCCAGTCAATATATTGAGGGAGGCTTGTCACAGTACGAGGGTGCTAATACCACACATCTTTCCATGAGATATCAAATCTGCCCAGAGAAGGAAACCTACTGGGTCAGCATTCTGAAGCAGGAGAGTAGAGTTTCTGAGTTGGTTTATCTATGGCAGGCTTCAAAGGAAAATGAACATTAGCTGCATGCTGACAATTGAGAGGTTGCCCTGACCCAGCCATTTGTTCTAAAGAGAACTCATAAAATTGCGAAGGTCAATGATGGCGCATTGCCAGGTTTCTCCCATCTACATTAGCCGTCCACTCCAAGGAGAGCAATAAAAAAGGAAATTTAAGACCCAAAGTGAAACAGTACTTGCATAACAATGAGAGAATAATCTGGCTACTTTTTAATTTGGAATTAGACAAAAATTTTGCAAATTTAGATAAAAAGTTGAAGAGTTGCAACTTAAAACAATGAATTTTAAGGAAAGCTTACCTAGCCCCTCAAAACAAAATCCAAAAATAAAAACAGCCAGGTATTTAAACGTGACCATGGTTTGAAAATGGAATGTTATAAAAAGTTACAAATAAGTTAATAGGATTCAGAGAATAAATTCAGTATCATTATTCTTTGATTGCTGAGACGGTAATAATGTTATCTTTTTTCCCCTTTTCTTTATTTTTTTATTTTTTAGTTTTATTTTTTTTAAAGATTATTTATGCATACAAGAACTGAAGCACTTACTTTTGGCATCTTAAATGCAAAGTTCATAGTAAGTCGACAACTGTTTCTGTTCACTGGAAATCAATGGCTTTAGCTGGAAGATAAGTATTTCAACCCTCACATACTTAATATACCCATGATCTTGGGTTACTTAATCTCTGAGGCTGCACTTCATTCCACGGCTAAAAGGGAGTAATAGTACTTACCTTATAAGGACATCACGAGGATTAAATGGTTTAGGACACATAAAAGTTTTTCTTCAAATATAAAGTGCTACACAAACATATGGTATGCCTAGAAAACATTCTTGCTTTACCTGTGTGCTATAGTAAGAGCAACTTTAGAAAAGGATAACATAGTTGATTTCTCTTGAAGTACTAATGTTGATTATTATATCAACACTTCAGGGATAGTGGCAAGTATTGCAGGGCATAAGCATTCTTGTGCATAAGCACAGGATTTAGTTTTTGTTTGTGGTAAAATATACATAATTTAAAAATGACCATTTAACCTATTTTAAGTATATAGTTCTCTGGCATTAAATAGATTTTCATTGTTCTGTAACCATCACTAATATCCATCTCCAGAACTTTATAATCTTCCCAAACTGAAACGCAATCATCATTTTATTTTCTGTCTCATGAATTAGACTACTCTAGGTACACCACATAAGTGGGATCATACAGTGTTTGTCCTTTTGTGACTGGCTTATTTCAGTTAGCATGATGTCTTCAAGGTTCATCCACATTGTAGTATATGTCAGAATTTCCTGCTCTTTAAGACTGTATCATATTACATTACGTGTATATAGTCATGTGTCACTTTTAATGAAAGTGATGAATTCTCAGAAACACATCACTAAGTGATTTCTTGGCTGGGTGAACATCATAGAGTATAATTGCACAAACTTAGACATGGTACAGCCCACTTACACATATAGATAGGCTACAGGGTATAGTTCATTGAGACCACTGTTGTTGATGTCCTTCAGTCCCTCATTGACCGAAATGTGGCAAAGTGACACAAGACTGTATATACCACATTTTGTTTCTGCATTCATTTGTTGATGGAAGCACCTTAAGTTGCTTCTACCTATTGGCTATGGTGAATAATGTCGCTATGAACATGAGTGTACAAATTCCTATTCATTTCTTGTGGGTGTGTATGTGTGATGTGGAATTACTGGATCATACAGTAATTCCATGTTTACATTTTTGAAGAATTACCATATTATTTGCTACTGTGGCTACATCATTTTTATTCCAGTAGTTCAAAAAGATTCCAATTTCATCATATCCTCACCAACACTCTTTATATTTTATAATAACCATCCTAATGGGTGTGAAGTGGGCAAGACAGTTTTTAGTTTGCAATTTCTCTTTTTAGTTCTAACAATTTTTACTTTATATTGAAGATTTTTTTAGTGTTCTGTTTCTCACAACACTATGTTGTGAACCTCTATATCTAGACAGGTCTTTTATAGAAAAATATAGTTTTTACTTGCCTCACTTTTTCAGCATTTCTTTCTGTTTAAAATTTCTGCTTTCTTTTTGATTGAACCAGTTTTACCTCATTACATTCTTTCCCTTTCGTAGTTTATTTTAATTAAACATGTACTAATTTTACAACAAAGATACAGCTTATTTCTATTTGTAGGGGTGATCCATTCATTTAAGCATCCATATTAAGTCAAAAGTTAGTATCTATACCCTTCTTCGGAAAAATATAAGAACTTCAGAATATTTTAACTTTGGTTTTTATGTTTTTGTTATCCAAGACTTACTTCTCCAGCTTTGTTTAATATAGACACTGCTTACTTATATTTATTTACAGCTCCCTTCTTGGATCTCACATTTTTTCTCGAATCATTTTCATTTCCTAAAGTATGTTTTTTCCAAGTTTCTTAATGAGGTTCTGTTAAAGGTAAACACCCTTCAGTTTTAATTTTTCTAAAAATGTCTTCATTTCACCTTCATTTGTGAAAGATAGTTTTCTTTGGTATGTAATAATAGACTGAAAATACTTTTCTTAGCACTTAAAAGATATTATTTCTAAGTTTTCAGTGATGCTGTTAGGAAGTCACCTCTTAGTTTGGTTGTAGGTCCTTCCAGTAATTTTTCTTTCATGTTTGTGTGCGCTTTGTTGTTTTCTCTTTGCCTTGGTTTTTCACTTGGATATCACGACATTTGAGATTCTTTTTGTTTATCTTCTTTGTCTTTGCTAGGCTTTTGAATCTGAAGTCTCATTTCTTGTCATTAATTTTGGTAATTGCTCAGCCATCAGTTCTTCCCAATTTCTACTCTGTATTCATGGATCTCTAATTAGAGATATGTAGACCTATA